GCAATCATCCCAAGGATCTACATTCAGCACTGGATTTTATCAGTAACTTGGGTCAGCTAGATGCAAGTGGGCATGTCCAGCACCGCTGAAACCCAAGCAGAGAGTCCATCGGTACTGCAAGAGGGCAGGCCCAGGGATGTGCCCCCACAGCGGATCACTGAACAGGCATGGGTGAACTTTTTGGCACTGAGGGACCCACACTTGACTCTGTCAGTAATACTGGGACCACTGGGTGATAGTGGGCACTGCCCTGATTCCTGGGCCACTGAAACTGAGCAGATCTTTGGAGTCATGGGTGGGTGGGCCAAGAGAGGAACTCCCATGGTGCACTGCAGCGTGGCCCAGCAACATAGGTATGCAGGCCCTGAGAGGAACTCTTGCCATGGATCATGGTGTGGGCTGGCACCGTGGATGGGCAGGCCCAGAGAGGAACTCCCACAGTGGATCGTGGAGAGAGGCAGTTGTCTTGGGTCAGCTTTTTGGCACCGAGGGGCCTTGAGAGCAGGGTTTTTGTGTGTGTCTGAGCCTGGCAGAAAGTGGTGACCCCATAACAACTGGAATCTTTGCTGAACTTGAGCTGCGGACTGGTGAATAAAAGTACAACGTCATCAGTAGCAGCCCACTCAAAGACCTAGAAACTGCCCCTAGCAACGGGGAGCTTTCCTTCTTCCTCTTTTCTGCTCCCACCTTCTCCACTAACACCCTCACTCATCCAGTAGAAGAAACCACATTCAGCCATCATAATACCTCCCAGTTCAAATTCTAAACCCTCTATAGGACAAACAAAAACCCACATCCACATTTCCCACAGTGATTCCATCATCACATAGAAAACTGAAGAGCAACCCAGCATACCAGAATCAATAACTAAAAAAAAAAAAAAAAATAATAAAATACATCATCCCAGCTCCACCTTTACAAAATATTAAATCATAAAACCAGCACAAAAAATCAATACATAACCAAAAGTTAAAGACAACCTCAAAATGTCTAAGAAACAACAGGCAACCTCAAATCAAACAACAACAACAACAACAAAGGACAAGGCATTAGAAGCAAACCCACAAACAAAGGTCTCATTAAACATGGAGGAAGAGGAGGCAATAGAATTATCTGAGAAGGAAATTAGAAGATACGTTTATAGATCTTTACAAAAACCTAAGGAAATAACAAACAGAAGCAAGGAGAACACAGAAAGTTTCCCGGACTAACTCAGGAAAATCATTCAAGAACAAAATAACAAGATTAATGCACAATCAGAATGCATACAAAAAACAGCAGTTAGAAATTCAGAAGATGAATACCAAAATTACAGAATTATACAACACAGTAGAAGCATAAAAGAGTAAGTTAGAACTGACTGAAGAATGCATTTCCCAACTAAAGACAAATCCCTGGACACCAGCCCGTATGAAGAAAAATCAGAAGAAAGATTCAAGAGAATTGAAGAGAACCTAAGAGTTATATGGGACAACATGAAAAGGAACAACATAAGACTCATTGGAATTCCAGAACAAGAAGAGGTGAAAAAAAACCACTGAAAAAACTGTGGAAGACCTACTAACAGAAAACTTCCCCCATATCATCAAAGAAAAGATAATTTTCCAAGAAGCTCATAGAACTACACATAAGACAGATCCAAAGTATAATCAAACTCTCCAAAACAAAGGCAAATAAAAAATTTTGAGAGCTGCCTGGGAAAAAAGAAATGTTACTTATAATAATCAAACAGGCTGAGCTCCAATTACTCAGCAGAAACCATGCAGGCAAGAAGGCAATGGGACAGCATATAAAAAACACTGAAGGAAAAGAACTTCCAATCCTATATCCAGCCAAATTATCCATCAAATATGAGGGCAAAATCAAGGTATTCCCAGACAAACAGAAATTAAGGAAATTTGTGAAAACCAGACTGACCTTACAAGAAATGCTTAGGAAATCCTTCCAATAGAGAACCCACAACAGAGATCAACAAAATCAGGGTATGTTGCATCAACACTAAAACCAAATCAGAAATAGAAACTCAAAATAAGACCCTAAAACATTGTATACTAAAAGTTAAGGAAGTCAATCAGCACACAACAACAGCAACTAACCTATTAGAGGGAATGAAACTTCTAGGTATAAACTTCCAAATGGAGAGGAAAACAAGACAATGTCTTCACAGAACGCACCATTCTAAAAATGTAGAGATAAGAATGTATTTCAAAATAACCACAGAGAAAATTAACCTTCTCTACAAGCAAATCCAGAAGGAAGGAAATCATATGGGTTTAATGCTTATTAAAACCAACTATAAATGAGTCGGGTTTGACTCGACGGCACATAACAACAACAACAACATAAAGAAGAAAAGAGAGGAAGCATTAGGCAACAAACCGAACTCAGCACAGAAAAGTATACGGACCAAGGAAACAACAACAACACACACACACACACACACAAAAAAAACAACAACAAAAGAATGACAGCAAACAATTCATATCTATCACTAATTGAACTCGATGTAAATAGACTAAATGCACCAATCAAGAAAAAGAGTGGCAGAGTGGATAAGAAAAGACCCACTGATATGCTCCCTACAAGAGACCCACCTCAGACACAAAGATAATAACAAATTAAGAGTTAAGGGGTGTGAAAAAGTATACCAAGCCAATGTTAACAAAAAAGAGGAGTGGCAATATTAATTTCTGATAAAATAGACATTAAGGTGAAAAACATCATGAGAGACAAAGAAGGACATTTTATGATGCTAAAAGGGTCAAACTGACAAAGAAGACGTTATGATAATAAATATTTATGCACCCAATGAAATTGCTCTAAAATACGTGAAGCGAATATTAACTGAATTAAAAGAGACAATAGACAACTCTACAATAGTAGTAGGAGACTTTAACACACTACTTCCAAAGCGGGACAGATCAACTAGAAAAAAACTCAACAAAGATACAAAACTCAACAATACAATCAACCAATTCGACCTCATAGACATATACAGAGCATTCCATCCAACAAAAGCACAATTCATATTCTTCTCCAGTGCACATGGATCCTTCTCCAGAATAGACCATATGTTAGGACATAAAACAAGCCTCAAATTCAAAAGCATTGAAATGCTGCAAAGCATCTTCATGGACCACAATGCTGCAAAATTAGAAATTAATAATAGGAAGATCAAGGAAAAAACATCAAACATGTGGAAGCTGAAGAAATCAATGCTCAAAAACTACTGGGAAATAGAACAAATACAAACTGAAATAAAAAAAAAAATTCCTAGAAACAAATGAGACTGAAGATACATCATAACAAAACCTATGGGACACACTGAAAGCAGTACTCAGAGGATAGTTTATAGCAATAAATGCATACATCAAAAAAGAGGAAAGAAACAAAATCAACACTCTAACTCATCAACTCCAACAACTAGAAATAGAACAACAAAAGAATCCTACAGTATCTAGAAGCAAGGTAATAATAAAGATCAGAGCAGAAATAAATGAAACACAAAACAAACAAAACAAAACAAAACAAAAAAAAAAAAAAACAGAAAATCAACAAAACAAAAAGCTGGTTCTTCAAAAAGATTAACAAAACCAATAAACCACTGGCAGATCTAACAAAAGAAAAGAAAGAGAAGATCAAAATTACAAGAATTGTAAATCAAAATGGTGTCATCACAATAGAATCAACTGGGGAAAAAAAAGATATTGACAGAGTATTATAAAAAACTGTACTCCAACAGATTTGAGA